ACAAAAAAATCCCCAAAACTAGTCAGTTCTAGCGTCTCGAATGCAAATTTGTTGCTTCCCCTCTGTTTTCTATCATTGTAAATTAAATACATGTGAATGTTTTTCAGACAAAACAAGAAGCTCGAAGCAGTTTTTCCGTTAATAAAGAAAGTAGTTGTCAGAGTAATCAATAATGAGGTAATGCTTTTACTTTAATCCCCATATTTAGCATTTATACACACTATATACATTAATAAATGCTACACATATAGGTATATGCAGTCATAAAGTGTTTCTTTACAGTATTTGTCAACAACTGTAACTTCTGTGACATAATTTATATTATCACAACTGTGTTTGACTATATTATCCTTTATTTTGCGTTTATACAGCAACCGTCCTCTGTCTACTTAAATTATACATTATAATGAGTAATAAACCACCTATTAAATGTTGATATACTGTTTATAAATGCTAAACAAGTACCAGCAATTATGAATATAATCATAGTCTTAATGGGTCCCGGTTGACTTTGCTCCAAGCAGCAGTACGAATCAGAGCAGCTGGTGAGGCAAGGCTGTGAGCCAAGTGTGAAGGTTGATGCTTTGACTCGCAGGTTTCACAGCGTTTAAAGTCTGTACGTTGCCTTAATCCTAAAAAGTGTGAACACAGCTCTGACTCCTAGAGAGCAAAAACTGAATTTAACAGTTTAACCCTAACCCTAACCACTGTCTGTATTCTGGCTTTGAGTTCCCTGTGGAGGCAGTGGAGAAAGAAAACACTCCAATTCTTTAAAACAACAACAACACCCCTATTATATCCAAAATGTTAAGCTTTTAAGGATGAACTTATTCACACTGTCCTCTCCCTCTTTTCTTTGTATGTGTGTGTTAGCAGGCATTAAGCATGAACTTTAGTTGTGTGTGTGTGTGTTCATAAAACAAAGTGTGTTTGGGGCCTTTGTCTCCGGACATGGCTGCTGTTGTGTCGACCGTCCCTCTTGGCACATGACACATGACTCATGGTGTGTGTGTGTGTGTGTGATAGACAGACAGTGTGTGTGTGTCGGGGGGAGGAGGGGGCTTTTGTTTTGTTTTGTTTTTTCCTAGCGCAGAGGTCAGACAGCGAGCAGAGGGCGTCCCTGCCTACAATCTGGACCTGCTGTGTATGCCTGTCCTCCGTCTGCTTCATTTCTAATACGAGCTTATCAAGGTTTACACTACGGCTGCTAACATAAAATCATAGTCATAATACATTTCAAGAAAAACTTTTTTAGAAAGATGTTTATTCTTTAAATCGGAATGATATGCAACCTCGGCCTTCTGCCTTCCCATGCTATTTACTGATTCAGAGCCAGTTGTTGAATCATATTGAAGAAAGTGAAAATGAAAGAGGCAGAGGAGGGGTCAGTGCTGGGTGAGCTGAGTGAAGAATACACAATAACCTCCAGAAGCTTTAATAAAACTCATGGAAATATTTTAAGAAATTTCGAGGTCCCATGTTTCTTTATCTGCCTGTCCTCGAATGAGGAAAATAAATGACCCCTTAAAATGAGTGTCACTCAGTGGGTGTCTGTCCGATTATTTTCTTTTTTCTAAAGCACCTCTCTCTGGTTTTGGCCAGGGATGATTCAGCCCACATCTCTCTATATACTGAATGCTTCTTTTTTTTTATCCCCCAGCTATACATAAAGTATACAGCCAACTATGTGAAAAGTGCTCTTAGAGAAAGTTTATCATCTACATTTCAGCCCGACTGTTACTGTTTATTTTTGATTACTATAATTTAAAAAATCTGATAACAACATGTCGGTCGATCAACACCTTCAGCACACACTGGGCGCCTTCCTTTGGAGGTTTTCCAGGCATGTCCAACTCTGTATAGACCCAGAACTTGCTGAAGAAATTATATATCTCATCTGGCCTTGGATCGCCTCAGGATTCTTCAGAAGGAACAGGAGGGCGTTGCTGGGGAGTGGGATGTCTCGAGTGCCCAGTTTGACCTGCTGCCACCTTGATTAGACCCGAGATAAACAGATGATAATGGATAATGGAAGTGCACAACATAAACAAAACTTACTTCAAACCTAGTTGGCTTTTCTGTTAGTCCATATACAGAACTGTCGACTTAAAGGTCCAGTGTGTAACATTTAGTAGCATCTATTGGAACATTGGACATTTTTATATACAAAGGGAGCAGGTCCTAAAATTCTACAGAGTCCGCGCCATGTTGAACCACCATGTTTCTACCGTGCCAGAACGGACCAATGGGCTTTTTCACAGCCACTGTAGTTTTAATGGATATATGAGTCACTGCTGATTGGTTATGGCATTATAACAACCCTTCCTCAAGGAGAAAATGGCAAAAAATTAGCATGATGTCGGACTGAATAATGAAGTTAAATACTTGTAGCAGTTCAGGGTGATTATCAGATTATGAGCGAATGCAGCACTTCTGCAGTTATGAGATTACATTAAAGTCTAAATTGTCTTCGCCTCGTCTCAAACGGAGCTTTGAACCTGAGAAGTAAGACATTTTAAGTGGAGCTAGAAAGCCCTGCTTTGATTGGCTCCTTTTTTCTTAAACTACTGTTGGACTGATATTAGTTTCCCCATCATCTAAACACTGAGGACATAAATCCGGCTGATAGAAGCCTCAAAAGTAAACAAGAAGGACTGGATTTAGTTTGTTTTATTGTCAGTTCCTCTCAAATTTACTCCAAATCCTTTGGGTTATTTAGACCACTGTTTCTCTTATTCTTCATATCATCTTCAGTGTGTTCTGGGATTTAAAAATACATTTTTTTTGTTATCATAATAACATAACTGCTTTATAATTGTCAAGCGAGCGGTGTGGTCGGCCCCTAAAGCCCAGATGATGAATATTTATTGTCTTTTACGGTTTTCAAGCTACTTCCTGGTGATGGAAGGAAACATTGTGTCGACTGATGCTTCGCCATCTGGATGTTTAGATGTTGGATGTTAGATGCTACGACATATGGACACACACTCGCGCGAACAACTGAACACACACACACACACAGACAGGAGTCGGCTCTGCTATCCAGAAGCATATGGTTCTTTGAGATAGAGTGGAGACAGACTGGGCCATTCTGTTGGATAGCACCGAGGGCCTCAACATTGTTAGAAGTGCTGCCAAACTAACTTCACCACACACACACACACACACACACACACACACACACAGTCTCGCCTCACTTGCTGCTTTGCTATTTGTTTCAATAAGAAGTGAAAGCCGGCATTTATTTGTGTTTCTGCAGGAGAGTCTCAGTGTAACAGTGTGAAATGAAAATTAAGATACCTGTGAACTGTATTACTGGAGGCTTATTCAGCAACATTTAGGCCCACGGTTGGTCTTTGTTCATTACACACTCACAGTGTCAGTAGCGTTTTGTCTGTTTCGTTGTCTCATTACGAAGATTACCCCCCAAATTGATTTTTCCTTTATCTTCTCAGTTAAAAAGTCCCTTTTATTTTAGAGCCTGGCGAGCTTATAAGCATTAATGTTATCGTTATGAGGGAAAAACTGAGGCTCTCTTCTCATATTATCACAAATTAAAATGTCTTTAGTTTAATTCATGCCCTGATGAAGGGTTCTATTTAAACTCAGGCAGAGCTCCAGCTTTTTGTTATTATTCCAGGCAGTAATATGCTTTTCTCTCTGATAGATAATACAAGATTTCTGGCAGTTTCTGTGAATTGATTGCATTTAATTAACATTGCAATCGCTTTGATCCATAGGCTTTTCTATAGCAAGTTATGTAGCAGTCGGGACAGATTTAATTTCAGCGCAATCGAGTTTGCACCAGTACTCATACCATCACCTCCAGTGGTTGTGTGGGTTAAGATTATTTGAAAGTACTACCTCTCAAATATATGTGATCCCTGACTTACTTAACGGAGCACTGGTACAGAAGTACTTTGATCCAGATGCGGATGGGACATTTTATTTTCTACTTTCTACTTCTACACGTACAGTGTGAGCACTCAGGTTGTTGCTTGATGATCGGCACATAAATTGTGAGCTTTGGCTTTACATCACAGACGATTTACTCGTACAACAGGATTTGGAATTAAACAACATGTCTAAACTTGTGGAGTGTATGTATGCCCAACTTAAGTTAAGTATTTGCCCATAGTAACATTTAACAAGTAACATTTTGACATGATGGCAGCGCTACACGGAAGGTTAAGAAGATCAGCCCTAATTGGGCTCTGGAAAATTAAGGTAGATGTTTTTAATATATATTTCTCGACTAAAAACAACAAAATACAAAGATGAATTAGTCCTGCAACAGTTATTTTAATAGCTGATGAAACAAACTTCTTTGCATTGTTGTAAATACTTACTGTATTTGCTATTACCTAAATATCCCTTTAAATCGCTTCACCACATTTTGAAATCCAAAAGCATTCAGCGTTTTTATAGACGCTTCATTAATCATCATGTTTTTACTGCCAGACTCCTTATTGGTTTATTGTCCTTTAGAGACCCACCCTGTAACCACCACTGTAACAACATCGTCAACTCCAGAGCTCAACTTTATTACTTGTTTGTGACAAGTTTAACCACCTTCACTTCTCTAAAAATAGCAGCACAGTAAACTTCCAGGACTGTGGGAAAAATGTAAGATTACAAGAGCAGATGGACTAAAAACTATTAAAATGTAAAAAGCAAGCCAGGGTTGAATGCAGTCAGCATTTTTTCTTTTTGAGGAACATTTGAGGAAAAGTCTGGATTGTTTCTGTTAAAGTCCTCAGGTGGAGTCTACAAATAGAAACCTGCATATTTTTTGCCTTCACTGAAACATGATGCAGTTCCCCTTCGGACTAATGGGTAACAAATATGTCGCCTGGTTTTGACCTGTAATTCAAGTGCAACCCTCAGGGCAGTCATTGATTCCTTTCAGCAAATCCAAGCTGTGTTTTCAGATATCAGATGACACAAATGGTCCCAAATTTTACCCAAACTGATCTTCATAACTTTTGTGTTTCATTTAGGTGAGCGAGGTGGTTGATGTCACCAGAGATCAACAGGGCCTGAACACTGAACAGGTGAGAAAGTATAACAACTTGCTGTGACTTTTATTCTGAAATCTTGTTTTCTTTCTCATTTCTTCTCAGAAAACTTTTTCTTTCTTGTAAACTTACTTTCTCTTTCACCCTTTTCACATAGTATGCATATAATTTTTCAGGCCCCCTCCTCTGCCGTCATTAGAAAGCATTGTGTGTTCCCATGAATGCCATTGGCTGTTTATTTTGGCGGCCTCAGCTACTTGTGTTTTTATGCGTGTGTGTGTGTGTGGCAGGGCAGAGGGGTAGGTTAAGGGGTTAATAGGAGGCTTCAGGCTGTTTTTTAAGAAATGAATTCTTGCTGTGACTCTGCTGCCCCTCATACAAACACTCTTCTCACATATCAGCCAATTACTGACACTCCACACACACCTCTCTCTCTCTTATTATATTGCTCTTCTTTTATTTGGACTCCTTGTTGTTCAGGCAGCTATCAGGGAATTGAAGCTTTAAAATGCAAAAACAACCAACATTGTATTCTTCTAACACTGTGGTAAGGGAGTGATAAGACACTTTACACTGGGCTAAATCGCAGGTTTCAAGACAAAGAAACAGTGCAATAAGTACAATTACCCAAACTTACTTATGTGAACTAAACCTAAAACAAACTCTGCTTACTAAACAAACCCTCAAACAGCCATTTAAAGAAGTTTGGACCATTAAAATAAGTCCATACTTCCAAATATGCCCTCCCTTCATTGTCTAAAACCTACATTGGTCCTCACAGAGATGGTAATGCACATACACAGGGACTATATTTCATGTAGGATGGGGATTTACGAAGTTAAGCTTTGAGTAATGTAGATGTCAACTTCGAGTGGATGAGGGATTACAGTAAAACCTTTGTTTAGACACAAACACACCTTAGAGGTCTTCAGGCCAGATCCTCCAGAACCTCAACGACGTGTCCCAACCTGAACTGATCTTCCATCCACATTTTCTCATCAACCTTGTTTCTGGGTGGCATCCAGCATTGTTCTGGGTCTTTTATCTAATATTTGATGCCACAGGACCCGAGAAAAGGGTGCTTTCTCTGTTCACCTGGTGGCAGCCATTTTGGCTACTGAGGTGTTTCCCAGTGGTAGCCAATAGGGTTTGGCGATTGGACGAATATATCGGCAAATATATGGGTTTTTTGGCAGATTTTTTTCATTTTATTTTGCTAATTTAATGCTGTAATGTATGTTTATATGCGGTGAATTAAGGGTTTATTTAGGCTAGTTTGACGACAGGGAATATAGTAACAAGGTGATTCACAGTGGCTTTAACCAGAACTCTCAATATTCACACTCGCACGTACGAATGTTTCTGCAATCGTTGGTTGTTGGACTGACGGTAGCCGGTTCACAAATCACCTAACCCTTTTAGGCAGCCCCAGTAAGCTTCACTGTATAGGCACTTGCGTATATGTATAGAAATATAATTTAAAAAGGTGAAAACTCCCCTGAATGAAATGCATGAGAGTTTCTGATCCCCTTTTATATCGACCTTTATCACCACACACTATAATAAACCATTTGGTCTGCTGTTGGTTTGATATTACTAGCTTTTTGTCACTTATCACACAGGTTCCTCTTTTGTTGAGGAGTAAGTCCACACCCAACCTAACCGCTTGATGTGGTCATGTTTTGGTGTGCTGGGCTCCTGACCACACCCAGCTTTGATATAGCTCGGTACACAGTGCCACAGAACATCACTCATATACAGGGTGTCTGAAAAACACGTCATCACCTCTATATAGCAGGGCACGCCACGTTATTAGACTGATTGAAGTTACTCTGTAAGTAGGTTGTTCTCCATTTTGTACTCTCATGTTTTTTATGGCTTCACCATTCCATCAAATGGAGACACTGCATCATTTTAGATTGAATTAGATTCAATTTTATCAGACATATTTCATTTAAAATAAAGACACTCTGCATCTGAAGGCTGGACAGTATGAGTTTGTACTGACTGATGGATTGCGAGTCAGTCAGGTTTAAGTGATGTTATAACAGTGTTGCTTTTTGAACAGGAGGCAGTCGTGTTGGCTACTGAATTTCACCCAGATTAAGTCAGCCGCCGTCTGCTTCACGATCCAGTATTTTTGCACATAAGTTGTTGAAGTTCATGCTGGAGAGTCTCCACTTTTTAAGACTTAAGCATTGTAATTAAGTAATGTTTATGCCAAGAAGGCTTTTTCATGAAGAAGTCATTTGGCATGTTGCATCAGTACACTAATGGCCTTTCTTTACATTATGTGCTTGATGTGGAGAGACATTAAACTGCTGTTATGCTGAATGAGACATTTAACTCCATTTGGGTTTTGGTCCATCTTCAGTTTGGGTCCTTTGTTTGTTGTCGGGGGCATGTGAAGACTTCCGCCACCCACACATGAAGATAGAGTATGCACAAACAGATTACCTGTCACACTAATGGCTGGAATACCTTGGTCTCTGTTACTGCCTGCAGCCTTCCTGCAGGGTTATTCTGGCCATTTAAGGCTGTTTCTTTCTCAGTTCATAACCCCAAATGAGTAAACATTGTTTTCTGTCTCAGAGGTTTTTAAACCCTGCAGAGAATCAGTCCAGTTTTTTGGGGAGAAGAACACTGAATATTACTAAAATGGTTCATATTAAAGTTTAAACGTATCAATTAGTGCAATAATTTATCAGCAGTTTCAGTCCAAATATATTGCTGTGACCCTTCAGAAAATCTTACTGGACCAAAATTAAACCGTCCAGTGTGACCGGTTGATTTAAATGGTCGTCTGAAAATGAACCGTTCTATGATTCTGCTTCTGTCTCTGCCACGTCACATTTAAAGCGTGATCACCTGCAGTGTGTGTTGTGTTGCCTTTCCTACACTTCCCCTTCCTGTCTTCCATCCATCACTGTTTCCCTCTTGCCTTCATGTCTCAATATCTCATTCCCCTCCGTTGTGTCTCCCTGTGGGTTTTTTAAATAGTTCTTGTTCAACCATAAACTGCCTCCATTTCTCCAGCCTTCCATCGGAGCTTGTACCTTGTCACTCCCATCAAATCTTAGAAAGCAAAAAGCAAGCTGTGTGGTAGGTTAGTGTTAAGAAAATCAGTTTCTCAGGGTCAAAATATTCATCCCCTCCTTCATATTTGAGGTGTACCAAACCACAAGTGATAAGTCCTGCTCAGCTCAGGTTGTCCTTTTTTTTAGGTTTGGCTTTTGATTTCATCAGCAGCAGGCTTTCCGCGCTGAACAAATAGTCAAACCGCAGTATAATATAAGCTCAAATATGGTTTCTCTTTGGTATACATTCATCCACTAACCTCAACTGTAAATTACAACGTCTGGTCTAGAAATCTGAATCTAATCCCAAACCTTAACCAAAAAAACCATATACATATTATATATATAATATATAATATAATATATATTTATTATTATACGGATATACTATTATTAACTGTATACTATATATATATATATATATATATATATATAAACTAGCAGGGCTGCAGAGAGTTTAAACTTGGACTCGAATCAGACGTCAATTGCAAGAATGAGGACTTAACAATCGACTGGGACTTGACTGCCCCACGACTTGACTCTGTAAAGACTTAATTTGACTTGACTCAAGACTTTAAAGTGAAAACAGGTTTGTTAAAACTAAACCATAAAAAAGAAACAATAGAAAAGAAAGACGACGCTCGGGAGACCTTCCATATCCACGTAGTATTAAATTTAGGCTGATGCATTCAAATGACATGGTCTCAGCTATGTGAACAATTCAGGTACACGAAAGACTTGATCAAAATATCAAAAATAGTTGCTGGTAAATTAATCGATGAATCAACTAATTGTTTCAACTCTACTTTAAACCTGGCTTGAACTGACACTTGAAACTTGCTTGGATAAACTTAAACTTGCCTCAGGACTTGTTCTTGTTCTTGTCTTTATGTATTGGAATTGGTTTGACCTTAATATCTGACTTGGATTTGTATTGACCGACTTGGGATGTGACTTGCTTATGCCTCGGGAATCTGTTCCGTCACAAGGTTTTGTTTCTCTTTAGTTACTCTGATAAAATGTTGAATAAATGAGGAAAACCCTTTTTTATTTATTTATTTGATCTCATAACTATTTAACAACTTCATTAAATAGAAACGACTGCGTAGACGCTCACTGAGCAACACTGTTTGTTTTTAAAATATTGAACATCAGTAGAAAACACGAGGTCTCAGCAGATTCAGTCAAGAAAATATCGATACTGACCCCTCAAAAAGCCACATCAGTCAAACTCTAGTGGATGATTAATATCACCACGGGTTCAGTAAACACAGTTTTGTGTATTTGGGAGAGAGCTTTCATCAAGCAAGTCGGCTCTTTTTCACTTTTCTATTAATCTTCCTCTTCACTTCATCACTTACCTCATCATGTCTGCTGCTGGACTTTTTACACATGATTCAGGCACTGTGTGTGTGTGTGTCTGTGTGTGTGTCTGTGTGTGTGTCTGTGTGTGTGTGTGTCTGGCTGTCTGACTGTTGTGTTTGGATGTAGTCCCAGAACTGTATCACTGCATGAAATGTGAGGTGCGTGGGTTTGACTGGACTCCATTTTTGTCTTCACACACACACACAAACACACACAGATGGCCAACATCTCAGACCTGCCAAATCTCAGTGTGTGTCCGTCTTTGTCATTATATATGACTATAATCGATTTATTAATCCATACCCTTAATGATACAGAGAGAGAGGGAAGGGAAGTTATGGAGAAAGTAGTGTTAGACACCTGACTCATGATAACTGAAATGTGGAGGAATATTGCACAAAAAAGCCGTAAGCAATGGAAAGCACAAATTTAAAAATCGATGGAAGAAAGCCAAGAAGGATGAAAGCAGCAAAAGAAAAGGGGAAAAAACTGCACAAAAGAACAAAAGTGGAAAGAAACGGAGAGTGAAGGAAGGAAAACTTAGTGAAAGGGAGGGAGAAAGCAGGCGAAGTTGATGACTTGGATCAGACTTTT